CCACTAGCCCAGGTTGCTCCAAGCCCCGTCCAACCTGTGGCACTTCCAGGGCTGGGGCAGCCACTACTTCTCTGGGCAACCTGTGCCAGGGCCTCCCCACCCTCACAGCCAAGAATTCCTTCCCAATATCTAATCTGATCCTACCCTCTTTCATCTTAAAGCCACCCCTGCTTGTCCTGTCACTCCAGGCCCGTGTCCAAAGTCCCTCTCCAGCTCTCCTGCAGCTAACCCTAACACTAACCCTAACCCTAACCCTAATCCTAACTCTAACCCTAATCCTAATTCTAACCCTAATCCTAATCCTAACCCTAATCCTAACCCTAACCCTAACCTTAACCCTAACTCTAATCCTAACCCTAACCCTAACCCTAACTCTAATCCTAACCCTAACCCTAACTCTAATCCTAACCCTGACCTTTAGGTACTGGAAGGGGCTCCAAGGTCTCCCCAGAGTCTTCTTTTCATGCTGAGTTCACTCTTTTTTATTTCCTAGGCTATTATTTAACTCAAGCAGCTGTCTGTATTCTGTGCTCCAGGTTTTGGCAGACATGGAAATTTAACCAGACCTTTGCCTACTTTGCTCCCCTTTTGCGAGTTCCATCAGACAAAAATATGGTTGTACTGGCAGGAGGAAAACTGGTCATGAATTTGCTGTCTGGCTGGTGACTGGGTATGAAACGCCAGACAGGAATTCTAGAATTTCCTCTGAGGCTTTTCATTCTCTTCTTTTGTTCTACTGTTAATACGGTCTGGAAATAGATGGGGGATTAAGTCTAGGAGCAGGCAGTTCTTCAGACAGGGTCTGAAATAGCTACAGTTTAGAAAAATACAAGCAATTTAGGAAAAAATGCCATTTAAGAAGTGAGTCTCACTTAGGGAAGTTTGTTTCTCAGTGAAGAAGTGAGTGAGCTGCATAGAACAAGGTTTGGCCTTGCTAAGTTGAGTTCTTCAAAGAATCTGAGCTCCTCAGTCCAGCTGTGGTGTCTGATGCTTTCAGCCTCAAGGAAAAATGGTAATTTGAAAAAGTGGAGGGGACAAAATAAAGTTGAGCTGTTTTGGCATCCTGAGGCAAAAAGAAGAGACAGAAAAGTAAAATAGAATCCAAACAGGAACTCTGCAAATCCTGGTATCTTGAAAGTAAAGTGTAATTAAGGAAATAAGGATGTTTTAAATTGAATTTCAGACTAAGAAACACACTGTCATAGTTTGAAATTGGCCCCCCTTGAGAGTTCGAGGGGCTCAGAGGTGATTGGGTGCCAGGGCAGTGTTCCCTGGAGAGTCAATCACTGTCCATGTCGTTCACTTTGCTCAAAATCACATATCACAGCCCCGGAAATGGTTGGCAGGGCACTCTTGGTTGCTGTGCTGTTGGTGTCTGCTGCGGGCAGGTGGACAAGGCCAGGGGGTGGCTGGGCTCCCTCTCTTCCCCTCTGGGGAACTAGAGTCAGCATTTGGAGTGTGTGCTGTGAAGGAAGAGATTCACAGCCCCTGAGGTAAGAGGGAGCAGGCCAGGCCTTCTTTCCCCCCCTGCAGCTGCGGGACGCCTGGGACAGTGCAGAACTGAACCGAGCTGCCTGTGGCCAAGGCTGGGGGGCTTTTTTTCCCCCCACTGCATTTAGGCTGGTGGGGGGTGGATTATGAGGCTCAGCACTTGAGCAGAGCCAAGTGGACGGGCTGATAAATCAGCTCAGTGCTTGGGAGAAGAATCCCAGGCGAAATGGGAGACGGGCCAAGAGAGGCTCGAGAGTTGCCCGCTGAAGCTGACCGGGGGCAGCCAAAAACTGACTTAGAGGAATGAAGATTCCAGGACACGTACGTTTGATAAGCTACACTGCAGCAGCCTACGAACCGAGGTGGGACACCGAGAGGGAGAGATCACCAGCAGCAGGAGAGCAAGGACTCAAAGCTATCTTCTTGGACTT